TTCCTGGCGAGGCTGGGCTTGCAGCTGGCCTCGGCTGAGGGCTTGCAGCTGGCCTCGGCTGAGGAGGCGAGGAGGTCCCGGGATCGGTAACTCTAGCTTCGCGAAGGTCACGCGATGGAGCACCATCATCTACCACGATGTCCTCCTCCTCCCTTTCAACATGTTGTGCCTCTGCGGAATCTCCGCTGCTATGAAGAGAACTTGTCATTGCCGTCCCTTCTGCGCCGGCATCGTGCAGAGCGTCGTGCAGGTNTTGCCGTCCCTTCTGCGCCGGCATCGTGCAGAGCGTCGTGCAGGTCATCGTGCCCAGCGACAGCAACAACAGCTGAAGGTGCAACAGGAGCAGGGGCAGCACGAGCAGCAGCAGGAGCAGCAGCAGGAGCCTCCATTGACGCCTCTGGCACTGTAGAGTCTTTGTAGGTTTGGGGTACGCGCCCCGGCACCGGTTGGATGCGGTACGCGCCTGGCTTCACCGACAGACGAGCGCGGGCGTTGTGCGTGCGGAGTTATTCAAAAAAGTGGTTCTGTAGAGTGGGGTTCAGGAGGCGTTTCTTACAGGCGCCATGCTCTCGTTCGTCTGTTCGTCTGTACAGGTGCAAATTTTCCGGGGGCCCCACTTGACCCACGACGACCGACTCCCACAGCACAGTGTTGCACGCCTGATAAAAATAAATAAATAAGCGGCTCAACACAATAAATGGCAGTTGGCTAGTCCACCGGCGATCAGACGTCCGCACTGCCACCTTTGTCGGCGTACAGCAGTAAAATAGACCAGTAGCTATTCAGGAAAGCTGGTTTCACGGAATTCGATGACTAAAGCACGAGAACTGCTCGGCGCAGGCTCCGAGACTCTGCCGAAAAAATGTGATCCATGCCCCTGCTGCGGCCGAACCTCCTGTGGTGTGCACGCGCGGCAAGCTTAACACGAGAACGCGCCCTATACCTAACCGATCGACACGAATCTTCACACAGTTACGAACAATGACACGAGGAGTACACATATCGAGTATTGTGTCCAGAAGTAAGTGCTTCCGAGAGAGAGAGGTACTTATCGCTCGGAAACAGAGGTATTGCGCGGATCAAGCGTGCTTATCTTTGGACGCGCTACTCGTGGCATGAGACACGGGATGGGCTTGCTGTGAGGCTTGCGAGTCTACTGCAATTTGAACTTTGGTGCAACACACAGCAGTACAGGTGAAGTAATTGCAAATGGCGTGCGTCCACATTTGAAAACGGTTACTTTTATCTCCTACAGCAGTGTCCTGTAGTGTTGCGCCGCCTACGCACACATCGAAAGACAAAGTCACGTAAGAAAAATACGGCGCACACGCACGCAGCAGCAGCTGCGGCCGTCAGGATGCCCCGTTGGGGCCGGCACGGGCATGTATCCGTTTTGTGCTCCGGTGAAATCCGACTGGTTGATGGAGTTGTGTCGTCGTGCGTCTTTCGAAAACAAGTAAAGAACGAAACAGACCGAAACACAACATATTATTCGAAGTACCGCTACGTGAGTTCGCGAGTTTCCATTCAGACTCCCCCCCCCCCCCCGCCCGCACGAACAAGAGATTTGCTAACAAATTTAATGAACGTGAGATAATTCGTAAGGTGGACCTACTAACGCAGAGAATATACACTAAGAAACAATGAGGGTGAAGCAAGCTCCAAAAGCAACGTCGTTTGCCGTGTGTGTATCTTTGTGCACACCATGATGATACACGTAGGCCCAACGCGAGCCCTTAAAACTTGATGAGTAAAGGAATCCGACACTATATATCTACAGCACATGTAACCTTGAGAAAATACAAGCACTTCAATCGCTACATTCCCGGACGCGGGGAACAATAAGCGCAGGGAGACATAATCAATACTCCCGAAACCCCGCCGTACCACTGCCTAAACCCTTCGCCAACGCCGTGGTTGCCGCAGCCGATATCCGCTTCACCCGGAAACATGCTCGAAACCCAAGCTGGGGGTCGAAGCCAGTAAGTCCTGACCAACGCCGAACGGGGGAGCCGCCATTGGACGAAATCATCTCGCGGAAGTTTGTTACCTGAAACACGATACGCAGACCGCATTATGTGGGCTCGGTATGGCACCGGCGCGATACACCAACATGATCACTAGGCGACGAACAAAAAATAGGCGACATCAACACTCGCACATGTCTACACAAGAAGAAAAATGAACAGCGATACGTCGCCTCAGATCTTTCCTCAGTGTTTTGAGCTGCGTCGGATACACATGTGCATACGAACAAGGAAACCATTTGAGCATGTGCGTGTTCACAGCATTTTTGACACATCTGCTTCACCGCTACAGGTTGAGATAGTTCTACTTTCCGAAGNCTACACAAGAAGAAAAATGAACAGCGATACGTCGCCTCAGATCTTTCCTCAGTGTTTTGAGCTGCGTCGGATACACATGTGCATACGAACAAGGAAACCATTTGAGCATGTGCGTGTTCACAGCATTTTTGACACATCTGCTTCACCGCTACAGGTTGAGATAGTTCTACTTTCCGAAGCATTATCCTGACATCCTGACGATACAAGTTCGCTCGTGTGCACATCGTTCCAACAACCGAGCCCCCTCAGTCAAAGGATGGCCCGGGATATTTAAGGGGACACCGTGTGCGTTCGACCGGTGTATGCCCTCCGTTAAACCTTTACCCTTCAAAATCAATCTGGAGAGCATGCCGTTCCAGCATCGGAATGGGTTGCCACGACTTGGAAAAAAAACACTAAATAGAAACGTCGTATACTCTTTTACGTGAGGGACGGGTAAATGTTGTGCTGTATATGTTGGAGATTGTCGCGTCTTGTGGCAAGTTTGAACATACTCTTAAGATAACTCTCAAGTCGAAATAATGTGCTTACCTTGCGGAGTTAAGATTCGACGCATGTCCAAGGGCTATCCTCACTTGAGCTGCTCAGCACATTGTCGACGGCGGCGCGGCGAAGTGTCCGCTCGAAATCCTTGAACCGCCGGTCTCCCTCCTCTTGGTCCAGCCCTTTTGTAATCTGATCCACCGTAAGAGATGTGCGTCTCCTGAGCGAAGCGGCGTCTTGCATCCTACCCACATCGTCCCCCACCGTCACAGCTGTTGCGGCTATGAACAAAACATGCGGTCCTTCCCCCTGGCGCTCACCGACCCGCGGGTCGTGATCGCAGTTGTGGTTTGCAATCGCCGCGCATTGGGCCCCCTTGGGGAAAATGTCCTTGTCCTCAACGACCTTCGCATGATAGTCCTCTCGATGCTGCACTTGTGAAGTCGTAGCCCACAAGCCGTGCCCTGCTAGAAAGTCGATCACCTGCCGGCAGTTCCCCTTTGACTTCGCCCACTGAGCACCTTTGATGTCCGCCGCTGTCAAGTGTCGACCAGGAAAAATCGCCTTCACCGTGCACTTGCAAAGNATCCTTGAACCGCCGGTCTCCCTCCTCTTGGTCCAGCCCCTTTGTAATCTGATCCACCGTAAGAGATCTGCGTCTCCTGAGCGAAGCGGCGTCTTGCATCCTACCCACATCGTCCCCCACCGTCACAGCTGTTGCGGCTATGAACAAAACATGCGGTCCTTCCCCCTGGCGCTCACCGACCCGCAGGTCGTGTTGTCGTTTGCAATCGCCGCGCATTGGGCCCCCTTGGGGAGAATGTCCTTGTCCTCAACGACCTTCGCATGATAGTCCTCTCGATGCTGCACTTGTGAAGTCGTAGCCCACAAGCCGTGCCCTGCTAGAAAGTCGATCACCTGCCGGCAGTTCCCCTTTGACTTCGCCCACTGAGCACCTTTGATGTCCGCCGCTGTCAAGTGTCGACCAGGAAAAATCGCCTTCACCGTGCACTTGCAAAGCATGTACAAACGCCGTGCGAAGCCTCGCCTATCCTGGTTGGTTTTTTCGATGGAAATGACAGCTGCCTCGGAAGTTGCCCCAGAAGAATCCACCTCTTCTGCCCGGGTGGCATCGCGAGTGGGGGCTTGCCGCTCACAGGCGGCTCCTTCAAGCGCGTCGGCTCCATCGCTCCCATCATCCTCTCGCCGTACACTCCCCGCTGCGCTTGGCTGTGGACCGTCTGTTTTTGTTTCATCCCACGCCCAGCCCCGGCCGGGATCCTCACTCCCTATATCGGTAATCTCGGGGTACAGGGGCATGTTCGTCATACCTTGGAAGAGTCCAACCAATGTCGGGGGCATCTCAGCTAGGGCATCTCGCACTGGTTTCACGGGTGCGGCCAACTCCACGCTGTACTTGTGCTTTTGCCGTCGGATGCGGGCATTCTTGAGATCTGGATGCTGATCGACATCGGCCCGAACAATTTCCGCCGCCGCACGCACGATCTCCATCCTCGCGTCTGCCTCTTTCGCTTCTTCGAGAAGACGCCTCACTATCTGCAGGGACGTATTTCCACCGGACGTGGCGTTTGCGGGCGTGCTCGGACCATCGAACGTGTTCGCCAGGCGCGCCCGTAGGGCGAGGGATGCGATAACCTCGTCCCGAGCGTTGACCGGGAAGAGACACAGTAGTCGTTGGCGCCCGTCTCCAAAGCCCCCCTCGCTGCTGACCACCCGCGCTTGGCTCCCATCAGCGCTCGCGATGCTCTCGAACATCTGGCGCACGGCCTTCCGCCCGCTCCTACGCTCAAGTTCTTGGTCACCATCCTTTGCGCGCTCAGCTGAGAGCCAGTCGAACACATCCTCCCAGTAAAGGATGTCCCCGCGAGCTACGGCTTTAATCACCAACGCGCGCACCCGGCTGAACGGCTTCTCCGGCGCCGGTTCATCGGCTTTAGGTCGGCCCGAGTTGCTCGATGCCGCAACCTTTTTTTGAGTAGCTTCTCCGATGGCCCGGATTCGAGCTTGATTGCAGGCCTGGCAGTACCAAGCTTGTGTGCGTCCTGATCCACCACCCTCCGTTATGTTATCGTCCACGACGTCCACACTGTACCACCTCTTCTGGTCCTTCACAGGGTACCCTCTCTTGCACACGCTACATGTTCGGAGCTCCGGCTTTGCTTCCCTCTCGAGAAGAAAACCGTAGAAACAATCTCGGCGTTGGCAAATGCAGTCGTTGCTGGGACAAAATCCTCGCACGAGAGGTAGAGGCAGCTCCCCCTCTCCTTCTTGGTACTCGGCCAAAAACAACCGTGTCGCTCGTTCAAGCCGTGGCCCTCTGAGGTGCGTGAAGCCAGCTAAGCCCTCCGACCTATGGCATGCGGAGCATAGCTTGTCACTGACGGCGTGCACTACGCCTGAGGGGCACATGCTGCATTCGAGACCCGGGTTGTTTGTGAACCAACCGCACTCCGCACGCCTACAAGGTTTCTTGCGTGTTTTTTTCTCGGCTCCGATCTGAGTATTCCTAACTCCAGGATCAGACTGTCTTCGCGCTGCACTCCGCTTGACGGAGCGAGAGCCAGCTGTTCCAAGCTTTCCACCGCAACTTCGACGCCGGAATTCAACTGTCCGCTTGCCTCCAGACTCCAACTTCTCACGTTCAGCTTCGGCAATCTCTCGCTCTCTGCGGACCTTAGCATGTTGCCTCGCCTCCTTTTGCTGCTCACTGTACTCCTCGTCTGCCATCCTCCCCTCAAAGACGGCTTGCCGCCTCTGCCCCAGCGTCCGTCTCTTTCTGCGTTTCCTACCGGATCCTGTACGGCTTCCCGGATCTCGGCCACGCGCGCCGGATCCCGCCACTCGCTTAGTTGCGACGCCAGGCGTACTTGCGGGTGTAGCCTCTGGGGAAGCGGTGCCCAGGCCGCCTCCCCGTTGACAAGTAGCCGTAGACCCCCCCCCGCTGCTACCATTAACAGGATTCGACGGAGTTCGTGGGGGGCGACTACGTGGGTGGCGCGTCCTCCTTGGTGTCGCTTTTCCTTCAGCGGGACTGCATGTCCGTCCACGTCTTGGTTCAGGGCGAGGAGACGCAGGTGGTGTCACGGTCTGCTCTGTATGGCTCTTGTCGCCGCTCCTCCCCCCCCGCTGCCCGCTACTCCTACTACGTCTCATCGCGCGTCGGCTCGATCCTCCCTCTACGGACAGGTCCTAGGCCAAGGATACCCTGAAATCGAAACGCGCACAAAAAGGAAGTAGTTAACTCGGCGTTATCCGTAGTGTATAGATAATAGATACCATGACACTCAGACAGTCATTCATGGCATCCCATCCCAAAGTCAGGTGCGTGTGTCTCCATATTTAACCATAAATCAATCCTATATTCGTCCCTGGAAGGATACTGCTCAAAACGGTTCAGGAGTATCGAAAGTAATCCAAATAATACAAATCAGGGGGGGGGTCTAGTTCGTGTACAGTATCGAAGTACCGCGGACCATCCACAAAGATGCGTTCGTTTCGAACGTCAACTTCTCTAGATGTGGTCTGGGGTTCAGAAAAGTCGCTTCCACCCTCTCTTGATCACCAAAAACCATGGACCCTTTAGGTCGACAGATAGTGAGCGTATCCCGCCGCGTGCTTTCTGATATTTCCACAGCAGTTTGACATGTGTAGTGTATGTTACAACCCAATCTGCTGTGCTGCGGTGCATGTACTGCTGTATGCAGACCTGCGTTTCGGATCTTTCCAGCATAGCGCAACAATATTGAACTTTGATCTCAACATGCTTATCTTCTGACCGATCAAATCGCTCCAAACCTTTTGTAAAAGATGTCAACAGCACCTGAGTGCATGCTGTTGGCGACATTTCGTTGCAACGCGATAGACTCGTCGAGAGACTGCAGCGCATCCGACCCTTACTCGGAGATTTCCGAGTTGTCCTACGGTGGTACGCCCTGAGAAAAAACTGGATATCTATCCCCACGGACAAGCCCCGACTGTAAAACAAAGGCTGCACGGTTGATAGATAGCTACCTCACCTATCTCAGCCGGAATATCGACGCCCCCAGCCCTGCTGCGCCCTATGAAGCCGGCCGCGGGAGGCGAGGTCTTGAGTTGTTGCGCCGCAAGAAATCGAGGGGTTTCAGCAGGGGATGGCTTCCCGCCCGAGGCGTTATGTCTCACACTAATTTTGTTTTTTATCAGACGTGCAGCACTGAGCAAGGGTGAGTCATCTCGTCCGGCCTCCACAAATACCACCACCATGGCTAGAGCAGCGAGCTTCGCAATATTCTGCTGTGCGTTGACATCATGCCGGGCGTTCCATACCCCTGTCACCACGACATCCGGACGTATGTCGGTGAGACGAGAATCTTCTACAGCTCAGCAAGAGTGCTATCGCAGCGGCCGAAGGCCTCGCTCCAGCCTGAGCATGAAGAACGAGGCAACAGCTGAGGGGGTGACTGATGCTCCTATCGTGGAGGAAGGCTCGGCCACTGCTACTGCTGCGAGCAAGGCGGACGGGACGCCGAAGAAGAAGATGATTAGTAGACAGGACCTCTACGAGAAACAACCCAAGCCGGTGAGACAAGACTGCTATGTACTCTCCCCCGCATGCCCGACTGCTGTACCTACATGTAGACGCACATGATCGGTTAACGTGGGTCTACGGGGGCTTGCCACACATGCTTCTTGGAATGGGAGATTAAGCTATGCTTGTGCGATGTGGTGGGTCAGTGGATCATTGTGACCGCTGTACTGCGGGTGACTTGGTGCGCAATCCTTGGGTCGCGATGCAAGTGCCAGCGAGCCGAGATCTGCAGTCTACTTGAGAACAGCGTGTCCGCAGCAGTGAGCACCTGCGCCCCCATCACACGACGCGTTTACAGACGACGGTTGCTGTTCTGTCGCTGTATCGCATCGTTCGGATGTATTGGACACATTGCGCGAGCTTACGATCATCATTGAACAAATCAGTAAATTGCCATGGTGCATGATCCCCAAGTACTGTACCACAAGCAGCTCCTGCGACATCCGAAGGCAACTTAGTGTAAATCTGTTCGTCCTGCAAGGCCTCCTTGTCCAACGCACGTAACAACAGACATATTGGACTTGGTCAAAGCAAACAAGCCGTGTTTCGCGAAGACGAAGTGGGCAATCCTGGTAGAGTCTACGATACTTCAGTAGGTCTGCTCCGTGTGTGGTGCAAGAAAAGTTGCCGATGAGACCGCGCATATTGCTTCATAGATGATCCGAGTCTTCCGGCTATGCAAAGTGGACAGGGTACCGTATGTGGCCATGGGATGTCATGGCGTCGCCCCCGGAATGGCTCGTGTGTGAGGGAGATGCGAAGAGGATAATACAAGACAGAGTTTTTCCTTGGCGCGAGCCCGCCGAGTTACATATACCCTACTTAACAGACGTCCACACAAGCTAGAGCATTACCCCAGTTCCGATCACCCTAACGAAATACATCGTACAAACGCTCATGGAGGGCTTCGGCTACGCCAGGCTCCACGCCGTCTCCTGCAATTCCCCTGTTTTCCCGGGCTTCCGCGATAGTATTTTGAACTTAAACGATATACGACGATACTACTTCGAAGTATATATTTGTTCTCACAGGTCGAACTTTATGATAATATATCCCGGGCGGTACCCACGCACACTGCCTTGCCCTCCATATTCTTCCCTCTGCCGCCTGGGCCCTGGGAGACACAAACCTCTAAATCGCTTTGGAAAAATCACTCGAGCTGGAGCAACCCCTTCGATGTAAACCGTGCCGCATAACAGTTAAGGCCTTGTAGCGCGAGATGGAGGTGCTTGAATGTTTGCGATTTGAGCACAATCCTTGCAGAGATTTTTGGCGACGAAGCGCACAAAATTTTGCTTCAGCTGCCGACAGCTACAGTACCGCACGCCACAAGCAACGACAGTGCTCGAAAGGGCCGGAGCCTACCGATGTAGTATGTGAGTGGCGTCGCATGCCTTGACAGCTGCAGCAGGCAACCAGAAACGATTGTGGCGATTTTTTTTCTGAACCGTGTGTAGATGTACACAGCAGGTCGAATTTGACCAAACTGCCGAATATTCTGGGTGCTTTGACGGGTCGCCGCCGTCTCCGTATGGGTATCCCCAATCGATAAACGGATTGAACGCGAATCAAGCTGGTTCACCGGGCACCCTACTACGCCCATATATGTGCTAATAGCAGAGGGTTTAGATTTGCCGCAGTTTAATTTTTTATTTTTCCATCAACAACCCATAACATTGTTTTTTTCGTCACCCTATGTAAGGTGCTTCTGTGCATATCCCTTACTCTTCATCCCAGTTGTTGTGTTTTTTGTGTCCGACACACCATTCCCTCCGGTGCATACCACGCCTTATTTTTGTGAGGAACCTGGAGTAGCCTTCAAAGACCACTGGCCTCAGACCGAACCCGCGCTCGTTTCTGTCTGCCGACGAACTTTCAATTTTTTCGTGGTCACGGAAGGCCCACTGTACCCAGTGTTTCGCTACTCCGGAGGACGCTGCCACGGAAAAACGCGACAGATGATAATGGAAGAAAATCGATGAATGAAGTGCAGTACGGCCCTTGAGAATTTGCTGCGAGATATCTACCGAGTGCTCGTAAGAGATTTTTTTTCCCTTGTACTTGCGTTTCAAGAGACAACCGGATAGAGTATGCTAGAGCGATTTCTGCTTGTCCGACCCTCTCTTGCATCATAACCGTAACTACACCCTGTTCATGGGTGTACCGCAGGGACATTGGCGAACACCCCACTGACAGGGCAACCGTCAACGTTTCGCGTACAGGGCCCCGGCGGACGTCCGCAACGTACCAGGGGCATTTTCGCCCCATAGCCCAGGGTTTTTTTCGTAGGAAAGGACAGCGCGATCAATGAGAGTCTGCCGCAGTACATGAAACGACTGAGACGTCGTTTCAAATCCGAAGCAGGATTTTCCCCAACTCACCGACGGGTGAACCCAGCACAAAAAATGTACGCCCCTTGCATCAACAATGGAACAGGGCGCAGTTGTTGACCGGCCTTTTTTCTCCACCTTGCTTGCCGCAACCAGCACAAGAAGAAGGCACTGACCCCGCAGGAGCAAAAGTACCTGGACAAGATGGCGAGCGCGCCGATCATATACAAGCGCAATCCGGAGCAAGAGTTCTACCCGTCAGTCGGGTGAGTGCTTCTCTTTGTCTACGGCATTCGATGGAGAAAACGTATGGAGACTTTAGTGCGGCGTCCTGGATATTTGTATTGAGTCATTACAACTGTGGTGTGCTGAATAACTGGACCACGTAGATGAGCCCAACAGAGGGATGGTCTCCATGGGCGAAGTGTGGGAAGTGCAGTTGCTTGCACATACCGCGTATCCGCTACGAGTAACCAATAGACAGGCTAGCTGTTCGACCGTCGATCGTTAGTGGCTTGGGGAGCGTTTTGTTTTGGCCCAGATGATGGCCTCCCACAATCCCACCTTTCATGGCGCAAATGTCGTCATCTCGAGTCCTGTGCAGCCCATTGCTCTGCCCGGTAACATTAGAAAAGTAACCCTGTCATCCGCTCCGATGAAACACCACCACCATTCTCGTTGTTCGGAGTGTCAGTCTCGGCCCTCGGGAAGCTTTCCCAGTCCTCACTCGCCAACCTCTACAGTGCTTCACATCAATCGGGCTCTCTCTATTCTCTATTACGGTTTCCTGCGTTCATCCTCCGGAATATAAGGTATGAGAGCTCTTACCCGACCCTGGAAGAGTCTCTCAAGGAAGGCTACACCGGCGACAGCACCGTCATTGGCGAAGACGGCAAGGAGGAGGTCCTAATGCGCGTCGTCGTGGTCGGGGGGAGGGAGGCGGAGGGGGAGTTCCTGAAGAATTTGGCGGAGAAGGGGCGCGGAGAGCTGGTAGACGGGCTCTACGCGCTATGGGACCCAACGTGTGTGTTGGAAAAGGAGTCAAGTTGTAGCAGGCGCGAATGGCGCCCCGCGCTGTGTCGCATGTATTTCGCGCGAGTATTGGACCTGTTCAGGGTGAAGTATATTGGCGGTTCCCAGATGAGCAAGTTAAATTGTTTTTGGTCGAGAAGGCTTCGAGCACGGCAGCCGTTTCTCATGTCACCCCTTGCGAGTTTGGAGGCGTTTGTACGCTCATAGACCCGTTTGTCGTGACCTTTTTGCCCGTGCGCGGGGATCCTGCAGGGAGGGCCCGGTACCGGAAACGATCGCAAACATTGATCTCATCAACGTTCACGAGCTCGGCTTCGTCAAAAATCAGAATCCGAAAGAGGTTGCGAAACACGCCTACTTCTTGGCGGCGAACATGCTGGTGGCCGTCAGCAACCACGTGAGACGACGGAGTGTGTGTGTGTTTAGAATTCACAGGCTCCAAACAATATTGCCCGACGATCAGACGCTAAGAAATATCTCTCGCGAGGGCAATCCATGCAATCTAACCGGAAAGAAATGTGACCCCTCAGGGCGCACCTGCTACGCGGAACCAGTCCAAGGATGACGTACAGTTGTGGAGATGAAATCTCTTGCAGACCGACATGCTGTGGATTGAATTCGTCCAAATTTTTTCCACACGTCTAAGCGTGGTAAGCCTGCCCGCTGTTTGGACCTCACGCAACTCCCTTTCCCTCCTCTTGGTCGTCCGCAGCCATCGTACGGAGACGACTTCGTGCCTCAGCTGAAGAAAGCCGCGCTAGACAACGGCTTGACCTTCGTGGGTCCCGACCTCGCAGCTGAGGTTGCCAAAGGCGACATGGAATCGTTCACCAAGTTGGTCCAGGCCACCAGAAAAGCTTTGGAGGAGGATTAGCTTTTATTTTCGGGGACCGACGTTGTTCGATCGAGCCAGATGTACGCGCAAACGTTTTTGATTCAGCTGAACACCCAAATTCCCATGTCACGCAATGGCAGGCTGCCAGGTCGGCAGACGTGCTTGATGAGCAGTTTGTAGTGGTCGTGAGTAGTGAGCTGCTTCGCTTGATCAAGTGGCGATAACCTTTTCCATAACATATAGGGTAGAGTCGGATAGTTGATAGATAGAGGGGCACTGTCATCGCAAGCACATTGCTTTCAATACCGGTAATGTGTCGGCGTTAATAGAACTGTTGACATAGGAGTAGGGTTACTCACCTTACCTGGAGCCCGCTCCCCGTTTTCTGTTCCTGCTTGACGCCGCTAGAGCGAGTGATATTGTGAGAAAAGGAACGGCGTGCGTCCGTGAAAGCACACCGTGGAAGCAATTACCGGTAAATCGTGTCACCGGCAGGGTCCGCCATGATGCCCACGATGAAGGCGGCCAAATACATATTTCAACCCTTGAGGACAGGGAAACTGTCCCTTGATGTCGCGTTATGCGAAAATCAATAGATGCTCCAAACGCATTGCTCATGTTCTTGGGCTCGTAGGCACGGGTGTGGATAACGTTGTTCGGTTGAAGCGAAAATTGAAGGCAGTTGTTTGTTCGCGCCAAGGAAGACTCAATCCAAAGATTTTGGAAAGACGGGCAGACTCCCCACCCTGCCTGCGCTAATGCGTGCCGAAATACGCGACAGGAAGTTTGTGTTGGCTGTGTGCCAATCTGGGTGGTGAAACAAACTACCAAGTGAAACACGCCAACGCGCTTCCGAAAGATCTGGCTGGTCTGATGTGCCTGTTGTTGCGGTTTAGGGACGGCCATTTCGCGTTTGCGGCAGCACAGGAGGCTTTAAAAAGACAGGCTATCAACATAATAAAGTCAGCCGGTTTGTAGCCATCAAGTCACCCTTTTTTTCTGATCATTCTTCGTAGATGCCACACCGATGAAGAGAGTGGCGGTTCCATGCACATCAATACAGCACTCACTGTGGAGTAAACCAGGGTATTAACGAACACCCCCCCTTGAACGACGGTAGGGAGAATCATCCAAGGTAGAAAGAGGGCGGGAAAGCCGACGTACTGCTTCTTCCTGGACGTGAAAAAGGCATACGACACCGTGTGGAGAAATGGGTTGTGGAAACAACTGTCCAAATACGGGATCAAGGGGAAAATGTGGAGAGTGCTGAA